GCCTTAAATAGTAAAACCACCAGGAGGACTCAAATGGTTTGCAGCTGTGTCAATTGCTGATCCAATTAGTGACAGATGCTTCAGTATGTATGGATCACTTGGGTTGTTACCAACATCTGGTGAAAATTTCATGTCATTAGCACCTCTAGTAATATATTTACTGAGAAAAATGGTGACGTGTTCAGTACTTATTTTACCCGCTGTAACAGCTTTTTTAAGAAAAGCTGCACTATGAAAGGACAGCTAGCCACGAAGCTAACGTCTCTGCACAAATAAGAATGTGATTAACAACCTAGAGTACCAGAAGAAGGATACAACTCAGGCAAACTATAAAATGGAGCATTTCACTGAAAACTAAATTGAAAGCAGAGTTTATAATCCACAGCAGCAACGCTGCAGAACTCTTCAGCACTTCCTGCTGCAGTTTTAAGGAAGGTAAAGTTAGTGCCGTGTTTTCTGCTTTATAACAATGTTTATTTTGACTGAAACATTTCTATCAGTTTAAACAGAGTTGGATGTTGAGCTGTAAATGAGGGAGCTTCTGTAAATATTAGTCTCCTCCACCTAACATGAATCATTAATTTTGTTACATACAGTATTTATCCAGTTTGATTGTTTATCGGTAATAATGCAGTTTTTATAAGCCAATAAGGTATTATTTTATCGGAGGTCTTTGAACATTTGTGGCCAGGAGGAACATGAATCAAAGTTTTAAATAGTGAACTGTGAACAATCAAAGTCAAAGACAACACTCTTTAGTCAGTTGACGTGGTTCATCTGATTAGGATGCCTCCTGGACACCTACTTTTAGAGGTGTTCTGGGCACGTCCCCCTGGTAGGAGACCCCAGGGAAGACCCAGGACTCTCTGGAGGGATTATGTCCTCTCTGGCCTGGAAATGCCTCAGGATCCCCCAGGACAAGCTGGAAAGTGTCACTGGGGAGAGGGATGTCTGGGTTTCTCTCCTGGACCTGTTGCCTCTGTGACCTGACTAGAGATGAGCGGCAGAAGATGGAGATGTTTAAGTTTTAACCAAAGCCATCAGGTGACCAGTTAGTGTTCAGAGTATGTGTTGGGAATGACTCTAAGGTACTACCACATTTTTTATTTATT